CTACTTGAAGTTCAAAACTTTCCCTCAGCCCTTCAAAATTTGTGGCCCTTTGGATCATGACTGTCCAATGCATTGGAGTGAAACCCTGGATTGGAGAGAAGTCAAACTTCAGAAAGAACTTGACTTCATTTAGTAAGGCCTGGCTGTCATACTCCCTCAGACAGTGGAACAGACCCACGGCTTTGGGAGACAAAACGTCCTGCAGGATCTTGCCTTTGGTGTAGTCGAACAGTGGATCGCTAGGCTCCCATGTGCCTCGTTCCTTTATGAGCCCAAAGATGAAACGAAGTAAGACATCAAACTCTCCCACAGGGCTCAGCATCATCCTGTCCACCAGGCACCGCAAAGGATCAGACCCATTATGAGTCGCCTTGATGGTTTCCAATCTGGCCGATGCAGCCAAGAACTCTTGAATGCTCGCTTGTCCAAAGCGAAACACTTTGGCATTGTGCAGTCCCTTTTCTTCTCTCAACACAAGTGGACAGTCTTTTGAGAAAGCCGATGCTTCCTTAACACTGAAGTCCCATTCTACGAGATCCCATTCATACATAACATTTTTCGCCCCCAGTCGATTCATTGCAAGCCTCTCCAGCTTGGCAAGAAGGCCAGGGTTTGAATCCTTAACCAGCTTCGAGTAAATCTGGGTTAGATTCAAACGGTTGATTTTATACCCATCAGCTGTTTTGACGTGATTCTTCAAGACATTTGCCATGATGGTACAAATTGCAGGTATCTCAGAAAGGAAGTCCAGACTCCGTGATATCTTCACATGGTCCATGGCTCTGTTAGCCATAAACTCATCAGAGATTATAGATTTGAAGTGCTGCTCCTTCTGTTTATCACTGAACCCTTTAATCCGAGTCTCTTTAAGTAAAAAACGTTCAGGGATCTGCGTTGCTGCTGCATATCGGGTTGTTATCCATACATGAGCGTTGGGAAGTAAATTCCCACTTATCAGACTGGTCAGTAGAATCTCCACTTTGGACTTCTCGGAAACATCACTCACAGTTGGACCGTCAAAGTTAAGTGGGGTGTGAAACTCATCAAGTCCGTCCAAGACAAACCACACGTTGTTTTTATTTAGGCTAGAAACATCAAGCCCCTTCAGTTCAGGGTAAAATGCCAGGAGAACTTCAATAAGGCTCACATTTAGTCTGAGCAGATTTAGCTCCCAGAATGTGAGAGGAAAAAGGAACTGGATGTCCTGGTACTTTCCCCCCTCGGCCCACTCCAAAGCACCGGTCTGCACTGTCGTAGTTTTTCCAGCTCCAGAAACTCCTAATGTGATGACAGTCTTTTTGCTGCTTTTGTGTTTCTGTTTGCAGTCACATTTTAACATTTCAGAAAGCATAATGGTTTGGGAATACAACCACGTGTGTAGGTCAGATTTGTCGACATATGTAAATTCATGCTGGTGCAAAGTAGACCAGGGGTAGCTATGCTTGATCTCCAGATAACCAAGTTTTAATGGAAGTAGTGACTTTTCCGAGTATGCTTCCTTTAGCTTCTGATATTTGTTCTTCAGTGTGGTTTTGAGACAGATTTGGAGATCCATTTCACGGGCAGTGATTTCTGAAAAACAAATAAAGGTTGAGATTGTAAAAAACTTAAATTACGATGTAGTGTTCAGCTGTGGAAGAAGACACAGACGATTCTGATGGTCAAACTTTATCAGATGGTGATTTTAAAGGGTGCCAGTGTTGTGGTTTTTGACAGACTTAGACCCAAGAAATAATTAGTCTAAGAGGCAGAAGTTGTGGATCTGATAGACTTTGATTCAAGACCGTAAATGACATGGCCTTAGGTTAACTGATCATTAGATGAAAATCTACAATGAACAATGATCAGTTAGCCTAGGCCATGTTGGTTTTGCGTTTAAAACTTCCAATTCCCATCTCTCATAACTTATACATGTTGTATGCAATGCACAAAATGTGGCAGGTGTTCGCTCAGTGTTGCTTAGCACAGGCAGATAACATCATTACATTTACAGGTAAAGTATCAATAGCCATTATGATCAACACATCGATGTGACTTACAGGGAGGGGGGGGTGTCTGTTTGTTTTAGGTCAGGGCATTCTGCTGGCAGACACCAACAAAGTGAAACTATTCCCTAAAGTCAACCAGACCTCTCCAAGTCAGCATGATTTTTCAAAAGTATATTCATATCATGCATACTGTATATTCCCCCCAATTGGAACTTGAGTTCAAATAATTACAGCTAAACATCATGTGCATCACCGGACACCTTTTTACCTTTTTTCCTACCCTAGTGCTATGTTTGCAATCTGTTCCTTAATGACCCTGATGAAGGCCACAAGCCGAAACATGTCGGTCTAAATTTTTAATAAAGTTGATCTTCACACTAAAGTGTTGCTGGAGAATTTTGACCTCTTCAAGCCTTTCACTCATCATGCACCTTGCTAGTTGGTGAAGTTGTGCCAACAAAATCTCACTCTGCTTCATCACCAGAAACAAAATAAATTGATTCACCTACATAGAACCCTGACCTGCTATTCCAGCATCCGACAGTGATGGAGCAAGACGCTGTATTCAAAAGAACACTAACTCTAACGTATGACTAGGGCTGGGTGATATGGACCAAAACTCATATCTTGATATTGATTAGCTGAATGGCGATACTCGATATATATCAATATGTATTTTATTAACAGTGAAAACACATGGAAAATAAACTACCTGTTTGTGAATTTAAATAGTAATAAAATAAAATAAGAATGTTCTTTAAATACAATAAAAGAGAGAGAGGGGAGGAGCAGGGTTAAGAGGAACAGACAGTCAGTCATCATCAGTGAGATGAGAAAAAGGTGACCGTTATTTTAATGCAACATAAACTATATCCATATTAACGATGTTGTCTTACCCTATACCTTGTTTGAAAATATATCAATCTTAAAAACTCGATATAATGCCCAGCCCTAACCACAACACGTTAATATCATCCCGAGGGAACCCTAGAATCACAACGTGTGACCCGCAAGGAAGGAGTAAAAACCAAGCAAGACCTACTGTACATAAAATGAAAAACTTCTGCTGTATTGTTCAGGAGAACCTCTCAGTGGTTCCACCACTAATCACGAACATTGGGAAAACATCCTTTAACTTTTTGCTGCACACACTGGGTACCCATTACAAAAACTCAATGCCATTGTTACCATGGGTCATTTTAAAAACCTGATTACAAATAACTGTGCTCATAACTGTTCTAAAAAGTAGTTTTGCCTTCTCTGCTTACTTGTTTTCCTGTAACTATAATCTACATATTTCTTCTTTGTTTTTGTCACCCGTTTTATTTATTTATTTTACTCTTGACATCATAGTCTATGAAGATTAAAAGAGGTTGAATATATTCTTTGTCAGTGTATGTTGTTCTGCTTATCTCGTCTTGCCCAGATCTCTTAAATCTCAGACCATGTGTATCAATGTGTGACTTCTGTTTTGTTTTTTTGTTTGTTTCTTTTGTTTTGTTTTGAAAGAAATTCTTGGAACAAATTTTGTTCTGATATGTTTTGTTTTGTTGTAACCAAACTAGTAGTGTCTTAAATAATGAGATTTGTAACAAGGGTAGGTGTAATAAGATAAAGCTTCAGCCTACACCTTTTCAGTCAAAAAAATGTTTTTGTTTTTTCTTCTGACCGAAATAAATGATTATTACTACTACTATTAAAAATGATTACTACTATTATCAATGATTACCTGTCTACACAAAGATCAAATACAATGAAAAGAAATTGAAACATTTGCCTTTGGCCATAATAAACCATAAAGGGGTGTTAGGATAACTTTGGCTTGGGTACATTATTGACTGGCAGTACAGTAATAATCTTTTATAAATTAACTTTTTCACATTAGCGCAGCTGTGATTTGAAAAAAAACACATCGTGACTTACCGGAACTCCCGCTTTCAGTCCTTCTTGAACAAAGCGGCGAGTAGAGCGATAATTAACAAAATATCAAATACAAATGTTAGAAAAGACGAGTTTAACACATTCATAAGCTCATAGTTCCAACACCAGATTATTATTAACTGCGCGACCCTTGCAGAGGGAGCATGAAAACTATCTAGGAAGGAGAATGGGCGTGTGTAAATTTCTTTCCACTTCCGTGTACATCTTTGTGTGCTGCCCCCTACTGGTCAGATATGCCCCTGTTGGTGCAAGATCAGAAAAAAAACACCGAGGCTACCTGCATTATGTTATGTTTACTCTTCACTAATGAGTGTAACAGTTTGGTGGATATACTGAGGTAGGAGTTAAAGTTAATTAAGGGCACAGAGTGGTCCACATTGAGAAATAAACATCTGGTGTATAATATGTCATTGAAGACACATTCAGTATATAATTAATCATGAAAGAGACTGCAGAAAGTTGCTTAGATGCTAAATAACTCATTAACAGTACCATGATACTGTTGTAGATTAAAGTTACATTTCACTGTTGAGCACCAACACGTATTTGTTCACACATCAGGAATGTTGGACACATTAAGGCTAATGATGTGGTTGTGTAAATCACTTTTATAATTAAAAGTGACTTGTGTGCACATCTATGCAGCTATTATTATCATTTGAATATATGGCTATAATCAATCATCTATTTTTATTATTAATTGATTGCTTCAGTTTTTTTTAACAAGCAAACCCCCCAAAAAATTATTATTCAGTCATCTGTAATAATTATCCATTAAAAGTATGTGCTTCCTTTCTTTTATCATTTGTGACTATAAAGTGATTTAATCATTTTGAGGTTTGAGACCACGGGTTGAAAAATTGATGACAACTTTGGAGGTCTGGGAAATTGTAGAATGTAGAAACTTAATAGATACATAATGGCACGATTAGTTATATATTCCTAATATGTATTGTGTGACTGTCAGTAATATTGTACCACAAAGACATCAGACACCGGGCCGAAGTATGGACACGTCCTCTCACATAAATTAAGCAAAACATCCTCATGAAATAACGTGAGCAGATAGTCTCAGTTTGAGAGAATTTATATATTTCCACCGTCATCTTTGAGTGTCCGTAACAAACAGTAGAAACAGTGTATTTTGAAATTGACTTCTGAAAAATAACTGGCATAAATCCAACACCACTACAAAGTCCAGTACAGACATGTTAAATCTGAATACAAATCTTTGTGACTTTAGAGATGAGAAAAGGAACATTTGAATATAAAAATATTTCGACAGACATAAAAGCTACAGTTGACCAGCAACTGCAGAAATTAAAAACAAGAGTCATAACAAAAACACGATTTAAACTTTAAAAATAGTTAATTTTACTTATTAAATCAGAGCTTTGGCATGAAGCTGACTAAACTCTCTGTAATATTCCTATTAAAGGCACCTGGAATAACAGCAGTTAAGGCAAATGTTAGATACATTAAAGGCGGTCTACAGCTGTATGACAGATCCAAATTAAATATGATACATTTATAATTATCTGAGACACTCTTCACCTCCATATTACACTTCACAACTTAAATACTTAAAATCCTGCAAACCAGCCACAGACCATTGATTTCTCCTCACATGCACAGATGGACTAAAAGCGTGGCGAGCACTTTTTTTTTTTTATCTGTTCAATAGCAGGAAATGCAATATTGTGTTTTGACTGGTAGCAGTTCTCATGAAATTCATCTGCAAATCATTTCTTTTTGGTAAAAATGTAAATTTGTCAACCCAATTTCTCACAACTGGAAATCATTGTTGAATATCTGCATTAAAAAAAATTAACTTTTAACTCGGTCTTCTACGCAAATTCAGTAACAGAAATGATTTTTGATGTTAAGTTAAGACGTTAATAAAAATGTCCTTTCAGATGTCTGTAATTTAACGGTAACCAGTGAACGATTATAGTTTTCTTCATTGGCACCGATAAACATCTGCACACATCTGAATGAAAACAGCATTCTGTGCTGCATATAAACAGTATTTTTTTTTTTAAATGTCAAACATAGTATAATTGCTTTTGTTAATATTTCTGTCACAATCCTCTATACACATGTTGAAATTGAATTGATATTATGCAATTGTTATTGCTACTATAGAAGGGATTGCTGATAACTCTATCAACAGTAAGCTTTGTGTAAATACGTTGTGATAGGTCAAAATTAAATGTTTGGATTTGAACTCTATGAATGTGCCAAACTCATTCAACTTTTAGCTGATCAAACATTATGTTTTCAATAGTGATAACTTCATCGCTACCAGTCAGCTCTGTCATATAAATGTTAAAAAGGCTGCCAAATTACGATTTTAAAACCCTTAACCAAACCTGCAGAGAAAATGTTACCTTTCTTGGCCTTTTAGACTCCAATATGAAGTCTTCAACAACACTTTACAAAGTCCATTCTACCTCCTGGTGGTTTGCTCATAAAAATAAATCAACTTATTCCTCTTCATGACATCATCGTTGACCTCAAGACATTTGATATCTGCAACAATATGCCAACATACTGCTTGGGTTCTCCACAGACATCCTCCAATTCATCTATCAAACAAACATCTACAAGAACCAGAAAACAACAAATCAAAAAGAATCAATAGTGATCAAGTGCAGCGAGCGGTTACATTCTTCTCCACTATTGAACTTGAAGGCAATTTGCATTGTGTATAACGGCAGGGAAACAGAGGTTCAGGTTGGGCACCTTCCTGTAGAGAAAGTGGTAGATCTGTGTCCGAGGCCGGCTGTGGAGCTCGGCTTTGATTCGCTGAGGGTGTGTGTCGGGGGCGAGCTGTTGCCGCGTGTCCTCAGTGACCAGAAACAGTGCGTATTTCTCTGGGTCGGGGATCTTGAACTTGTAAGCGCAGAGTGAGCAGACCTCCTCTGTGGTTGTGTACGGGTCGACGACCAAGGTTTTGGCTGTGCAGCCTGTGTCCACTTCCTGCAGGGCTACACGGAGATAGTTCTATAGAGGGAGAGAAAAAAAAAGTTTACATATAGTGCAGACAGAAATCTACCACAAGAACTGACTGAAGCATTAGATATGAAGGCACTGGCAGGCAGAGTTATTGTCATAGAGGAAAAAATCTCATGCAGGTGTCATTAGTGCTACCAGTAGGGGGTGCTCTCTACCAAATTTATGAAACCACAGATCCAGCTCCACATGCTGTGACGTTAGAGGTATTCCTTTTCCCTGACGCGGGGCCACAACACATCACCTTTCATGCACCTTTTCCAATGCTGAGTTTTGGATGTGTTTTGAATCGGTACTACTTAGACTCACTGCCTGGGCGTTCAAGATGGGCTCAGGTCAGGCGTGATACCTGAAAGTCGTCCACTGTTGGCACTGCGCGCTGTGCCGTGCGACGTCTGTGCCACTGGTGCAGAGTGTTTCTGGCCTCGGAGGTCAGAACCCGGGCCGCCTGCTCCTCCTGGAAGTTCTTGATGAGCGACATGGCCCCATAAGCGCTGGTCAGGTAATAACCGCCTGGATGGTTGACACAAATAGAATAGAATAGAAAAGATGTTTATTGCCATTTGCACAGGTATAGGACAGTACAGGTACATTGGAATTTTTTTATGTTTCTCCCTGAGTCAGCTTCAATATAAATATGTTTTCTTGTCTCTTGCACGATGCAGGATTGATGGAGAAAAAGAAACACAACAGATGTGAGGCGCACATCAGGGCTGAGATCATATACCAGAAGTGAACCTATCAAGAATCAACAAACACTTCCTCATTTGTAATTAAAAAAATAGTTAAAGCACTATAATACACACCAACTACAACAGTGCACTTGAGCTGTTCTACAATAAACTTACAGGCCAGACAGGTTGACGCTGATAGGAAAGTATTTCATGCTGGAAGGGTCAGGCCTCCTTGTTCCCCCGACTGGAATTTCCTCCTAATGTCGTAAAGACTTTCCTTCCTAAACCAATGCTTCTAAAGTACTAACCATGACACTTCCGGATAAACTCAACTCGGCTGTGAAGGTCCAGCCTTAACGCCTTTGTATGCTGAAAGAACGGGTGTGATATTTTTTTTTTTAACCTTTTTGAATTTTGGTGTTCCCCCACCAAAGATCACATTCACAACACTTCTTTTGAACTTGTGAGCACTCCAGACTTTTGCTTCAATTCAGAAAGTATCAGAAAAAAGGTTTTTCTTTAAAGCAAGGAACTTCTGTTAACATCCCACCTCCATGCCACCACACCACAGTGGCTAAAACAATAATTTACCTCAGGATTCAAAATTAACTAAAGCTAATCAAAAATAATTCTACCCATTAGTTAGTTCGACCTCTATGAATGAGGAACATTAGAGCCAAGTATTACCAATACCTGAATTCCACTTTTACACTTTTTCCAGTAGACATTGAATGTGTTTAACATGAGTATTACTAATGTCCTGAGATTATATTGCTGTCTTTCACAAATCAAAAAAAGCTTAATGCATGTATGTAGCTACAGTGACCTTGCAGTACTTTTTTTTTACTGTATCATTTCTATGATTAAAGTAAGTAATTCTTAAAAGAAGAAATAACATTCTTACTCTAATAGAATTAAATCTACAAAGAAACTCCTTTCAACATTTGGGTATAGCTACTTTAGTCTGGTGTTATGCATCAGTTAGTGTTGCTAGTCGTCGCTATTTTAGCCACCTCTAGATAGAAAGATGTGAATCTGAAAAGTGTGTATTTTCTCAACTACTTATAATCCAAATTTTAGAGATTACAGATCACGCAAACTAGGCGTTACACCAGTAGGCATATGCAAAAATCCCAGTGTGGGTGGGCACAGAGAAAATCAGGTGGGCCCATAATCCATCCAAGGCCAATCATAAAAAAAAAACAGTAACTTAAAATCGGCTTTTAGTAATTCTTGGGCATATTTAAAATATTTAAATGTTTTTTTTCTGATAGAATGGCTGAAGGTTCCTGTGCTTTGGCACGTTTGAGAATCAAGTGCTGCTAGGGAGGAAAGGGTTGAATTAGCGACCATTTGTTGGGTCAAAACTGGCGTCATAGCTGGTCTGGTTTGAGGATGATGGCGCTGGCTGAACTTGAGCAAAATTCTCTTTCTTTTGCCCCCTCGAGACATCTATTTCTGAGAAATTCAAGCTTTATTTTGCCATCATTTTGATAAGTATTTGAACCTAGCCTACATTAGGAGGAAGGCATTTGAACAGGAACATTCCTCAGCCCACCCATAACTCCGCCCTCTGGTAACACCATTTCCTACCTTCTCCTTGCAGCAGAGAAGGGTCCAGCAGCTCCATCATGTATTGGATCTCTGTGTCCAGCTGAGGCATTTCACACTGAGCTACGACATAAGTCAGCATAGGCAGGAAGTCATCGGCACCGTACATCCTCCCTGGAAGGAAGCAAGCAGAAAGCAGAGACGCATGTAGGTGTGGTGGTCACAACGGGTCAGACAGAAGACATTGTTGTAAAAAGAATCTGAAACTAAAAACTGTTGTTTCAGGAAACATGTGTAAAGTAAAAAAGGAGACTAACACTAAAAACATATTTAGTTTCAGAAATGTTGCATGCAGTGTCAGAAACTCTTTTCTACCTGAGTTATCCTGCATGATGGTGTAGATGAGTTTACACACGCGCAGCAGCAGTGAAACCTTTTTCTCCGGGGAGTACATCTTCCTCATGTTGAGGAACTTGTGGCGGATTTTCTCGATAGCCATAGAGTCAGGGGGCACAGCGCCGTCCACCCCTAACTCCTGGGGCTTCTTGGACTTAGCCAGGGCCAGGTTCTCTCTCAGCTGCTGCAGAGTCCCACTGCTGACCTGTAGAGAACAACACAGAAAAACACAATACTCAGTCAGTAGATTCAGAGCAGATTGTTCATACAGGGTGTTTGTTTAGTAACGGTCTCGGTTGATTTGGTTTTTATTTCATTTTTGGATTGTTGCTGAGCAAGGATTTGCTTATTTTAATGAGATTTTAAACTTTAACTCTGCACTGTAACTTTTAACTCTTTTTATATTTTTACTTCATTTATTTCAATTAATTTCATTTGAATTATTTTTATTTGAACATATTTTCAGATTTAATAATTTCAGTGATTTTTAAATGTTCTATTTGAATGTTTCTTTTCTTTCCTCTGTCATGATGCTTTTGATGTCTTGTGTGAAGCACTTTGAATTGCCTTGTTGTTGAAATGTGCGACATAAATAAACTTACCTTGCCTAAGGAGTCTGTTAGCATTTTAACACTTACATTTAGAGATAGTAGAAGTCAATACTTTCACAAAAAAAAGGAACCAGGAAAACAACACTTTAAGATAGTGTTACATATCGACTTCTTTAGAGAAGTATGAAATACAAAAATAGTTACACAGTCAAACCTTGTAGCTTTACAACATTTCAGGATATTTGTTTTCAGTGGTGAACAATTCATTGATGATGGATGGGGGAAGGAATATAATGAACGTTTAGGCCTGATGACATAAGCCCTTGAGTATTGTGTACAGATGTTCTAAAGTGACTCAGGAATCTCATGCCTTCAACAAAAGACTTTAACACAATACGATATGGTACGGTACAATACGAGATGAGACACTTTATGTTCATTATTGCATAAAAGATAAGGCAAAGTTTGAAACATTTCAACCAAATCTAAATCTCCAAACAGTTTTGCATTCCCTTAAATTGTGTTTTGTGGATATGTTTAGTAAAAAAAAAAAATAATGCAATAAATAAAGAAAAATCCACACAGATACAGAGATGAGTGACGGGACAATATCAGCCAATCATATTGGCCAAACCAATATCAATATCAGTCTGGCACTAAAGAACTGGCTTATCTCTTACCTGGAAGTCATGTAGCGCCACCTCGATCACACTCCTCAGAGGCTTTAGGACACACTTGTGCATGGCCTTTTCTAGCACCTGATCTGTAGAGGATAAAAGTCACATACAAACACACAAGTCTTTAGTACCAGACAGATAAAAACAAACCCTCAAGCAAACTAATTAGTCATGTTTTGAAACTTAAAAATGCATCATTGCCTGTTGTGCATGACTCCCTAACCCTAACCCTAAAAATAAAAAAAAGCACAAAATGCCTCGAAAACAAGCTGCTTCTTAGTTCAGCAGACCACACTGCTGTTGCACTGAGTTCAATTACAAAATGCATATGAGACATCAGAAGGCTTCTTTGACTGTACAGAGTGGGGGGGGCTGCAGTTCAAAGGAGGTCGTTGATGTTGGCTCACAGCATCACCTTTTAGCAAGGAGCTGATGTTACTACTAAATCTGTCAAGGTATTTTATAACAACAAGCCCTGGATCACTAAAAGATCCCCAAAAGCTTTATTTAATGAAAAGAAAAGAGCATTTTACACAGGAAACCAAATTCACTCATAACAATCTCTACAAGTAAAATAAAAGGTCAAGAGAGTATACGAGGTATATGAGGACAAAGTCAAGAAGGTCTTTCAGGGAGGGAAAGCCAGAGACCCTGGTGAGGTGTTAAAGGGATAGTTTTGGTAATTAGAAGCTGGGTTGTATAAGGTAGGCCTAGTTATCGATGATTAGTGTATACCATCAGATAACAGTCAGCTCAGCCCCTGTTTGGAGAAGCAGGTAAGAGCTATGCTGGGTACTGCTGCAGAAGGGGTCACAAGAAACATGGACTAAAACAACATTTTAGTTGAAAGTGTACACTTCATTTCTGCATTTATGTCGAGTCACCTGAGGAGCACGGGGTGAGACACTGTCAGGAGCCAGGACTCAGGGGGTCTCTTGAGGTTAGGGTTTAGCAGCTCTGTGTTGAACACTGCTAAGTCATATAAGTCTCAAGTAATAAAGAGTGGGGAGCCTGAGGTGTTTGTTAAGGTTGGATAAGACCATCAGATCCTCATCGGTACACAAGGAGGAGCACAGATTATTGTTGGACTCAATGTAGTGTGACCATGCAGGTACACTCACACACACACTTTCTTACAGATAGCTTCCTGGTTACTTCTGGAAATGCTTATTTTCCTTTGTTTACTGAGTTTTGTTTGTTACTGGACTTGATATAGACTACTGCAAAGGTACACAACCCGGAGCACAAGATGGGAAAAGTCCAGATCATTTTTCAGAAGGCAAAGATGAAAATGCAGTTTTCAGGGTTTACACTCAAACAATGCTCTTTCCCTTCTCATTTATCGTTCCATTTATGTTATTATCCAGTCATGGCCACAAGTTGGCTCTTCAATATTTAGGATGAAGATGTGATATTGTCACTTATTCAGCTTTTAGCCTCATATGTTTTGTCTTGCATTCCATTTTTTCACTTCTTCAACGCTTCAAACCGATAATCTCACTCCACTTGGTCAAAGGCTCTGTTTTCATCTAAAGGCAGCAGTTCTGTGTTCAGTGAAAAAAAGAAAAGACATCATCAATGATCATGGTCAGGCCCATTCAGTGATTTAAATGAATGGGCCTCTTAGTGTGTTGTACATTTTTTAAAAAGGGGTCATTTTAGTCCTTTGAAAAAAGATCCACAATATTATCCATGTTTTTTTTTCCATGTGGGCATTTTGTCCTAGATCCGTTTTTAAAATGGTATAAATAGACACTGCAATACGTTTGAATACAACACTTTTAAAGACAGTAGATAAATGGAATTGAAATATCTTCTACTCCCGAGCCTTATCAAAACTCAAGTGACAAAACATGTCATTTAATAATATCAAAAGTAAATATTCAAAGAACTGAAAGGTTTGATGTTAGTTTACTAAACAAAGAATCAAAATGAATTCTATATGAAGGGTGGCAGATTGGTTGAAGTGTCACTTGGTTGGACCTCTACAATGGCTCCATCTGTACCTCAGACCTACGTACATGAGCGTTGAAGAACTTCCTGCCTAAACTCAACACTGTACAGCAAGTTGCTTTTTCAACAATTGTGTCTTATTGTCTTCTGGTATAACTGCCTACTGATTCATGCACAGGCATCCCCAGCCTCCAGGCAGTGTTTTAGACTCGAGCATGCTAATGGAAACAGCTGCACAGAACCTCATTCATGTTTTTGCAACTTGCATAAACGAGCGAACGTGAACAGACAAGAAGTGTGTTCCTGTAGAGAAATATCTGCCTTTATATGTCGAGTCGTTCCAGAGGTACAGGGTGAAAACACTTCTCGAGAATACACGCCTGCACACACTGTGTCTGCTAAGTGGGGTGGTTCACATGAGGTTAGGGTTTAGATGGTCTTTATTGAACACTGCTAAGTCAAATAAATCTAGAGTAATAAACACCGGGGAGCCTTGAGGTGTTTACTGAGACTGGATAAGTCCATTAGATCCTTGTGTGTATGCACGGAGGGGTACAGGGGCTATTAAGGAAATTATGATGTTAAAGTATTATTATTGGACTCCATGTAGTTTGACCACACACACACACACACACACACACACACACACACACACACACACACACACACACACACACACACACACACACACACACACACACACACACACACACACACACACACACACACACACACACACACACACACACACACACACTTCCTGGTTCCATTCAGAAAGGCTCGTTTCCTTTGTCTGTTGAGCAATATTTGTTATTTGGCTTTATCTGAAATACAACCTGTTCAAAGGCTTCCTGTGGACTTCAACAAACTGTAGGGCAGACACAATGAAACATACACACCAGCAAGCACCAACACTGACAAAAACCCCTTTGAGTTCTGACATCCTTGACTTCTCATTTACAACCCCCTTTCTGTTTGTTTCTTGTTCAGTCATGGCTGTAAATTGGGTGTGTTGACAATTGTCCAACCTCTTTAGACAAACATATGACAGAAGGTCATTCTACCTGTTCAACATTTTCTTCCCAAAGATGTCGGACTTTAAGGTGTCGTGTAAAAACTCTCATCTTAATCTTCCTGCAAACACACTGGATCACAGCATGGGCATGAGCTAAGCTCCTCTTCTCCTTTAGTAGGATTTCAGCACGTCAGCCTGACTGCATGCTCCCTGCTCGGAACTTTGATAATTTTTTCAGGGTAAAGAAAAAAAGAAAAAAATGCTGACCCACATTTTATCTTTGACTGAAAGTGTCTCTAAAATAACTCAATCCAGCAGAGAGATATCTGTTTACCTTTCACTTGGCTATATGTCACTTCACATTTCCCCTATCCAAAGGGAACACAACAAGAGAGTGAGACGCTTTATGTGCATATATCTGTGGTCTGTTAGCGCAGCCAGAGTGGATCACTTCTCCGTCTCTGAACAAAGCTTTGCTGTTGTTGTTTACAATGAACAAGGGACGTGAGATGAGTGCAAGACAGACATACTTACATATTCATGCAAACAGTTCACAATAATGAGATAGGAATGGAACATCTCTTTGTCCCTTTTGGTTCATGACAACAAACTAAGAGTTAGAGGTGAGCGACACTGACAAATTACAACATCTTGATTATGTCATTTTTGCACATTGTTAAAACAACTATTCAGATATAATCTCCTTGACACTATATATCGCTCACCCCTACTACACATTTTGTAAGCTAACTTAAGTGCACACCACGGCCTCTTCAGCTTTAGCACTCAGAGTATTAACTATAAACAGTTTTTGTATGTGTAAGTGTATGATCAGAAAATATATATACACCAATATTAGACCAATATGAGATCTTTAGTATTTGCTGACCCATTAGTCTGGCTTTCATTATTAAGGAGCCTGAGGTTAGTCATTTAACACCAGCATACATGAGCCAAGAATAACTCATTGGGCATAGCACTCTGACATTTCTGTAACTCAACACCAGATGCAAAGGCAGACTAAGATTCAAATGTTCAACTTCAAAGTCTGATCTCTAAGGCATGCTCAAGTCCGGGTATTCACTGAACATTGTCAGTGAACGACCTCATTTTGAGGTCATGTATTGAAGCACCTTCTGAAGAGGTTTTGCTTCTCAAATTACATTGACTGGAAAACAGAGAACTGAATACTGTCAAAAAAGGGATACGACTAAACCATCACACAACTGTGCCCACGCTTGCAAGTGGGAGATGTTTCACAAAGACACAGTTCCATTATGAAATCAACAGATCTCATGAAGTACATTAACCTGCATGGACTTAAAAGCTGTATAATGTTCTGGGCGGACTTACCAATCTGGTCCTCAGGTATGAGGGACTCTAGAGGCGGATCCAGCTCAGAGCTCTGGCGCAGGTAAGCCTTCATCTGAGTCATGAACTGCCTGAGAGTCTGCAGGAAGTCCGCCCCTGAAGTGTGACAGCTGCGGTTCTCCTGGACAAAGCTGATGTAGTCCTGAACCAGGGAGCCGAAATATGAAGTTTTGTTCCTGGACAGCTCAGCGATCCGTTTCACCGCCCGTTTCTCGGGGGTCATGAGAGAGCTGAGCATGCCGCTCACCTTGCTGAAGCGTCCCTTCAGGGCCCTGGGGATGACAAAAGAGCCCCCGCCTAGGCTCACGCTGACCCTCGGCCGCCGCGCTTTGAATGTAGGACGGAGGCGCATTTCCAGATCCGTCTCCAAGCCGACGCCGTAATCCTCCTCCTCCTCCTCGTCTTCTTCCCCGTCCTCGTCATCGTCACTGCTGTCCTCCACTGGGTCTTGATGATTCAGGTGTCTGGAAGGGTTCGAGGGTAACCCAAGGGAGAACCCAGGAGCCTGGGAGTATTCCAGTGAGTCAGAGGAGGAAGTGGACATGCTCATGTCGCTGAGACGCTGGCATCCCCTCTCGTCTGGAGTGGAAGGATTGACAGTGTTGTTGTCCAGTAGTCCATCAGCAGGAGCAGCGGGCGAAGGCTGGCAGGAGGGAAGCTTAGCACGGGACAGAGCCTTAGCGATGGTCTCATCGTCCAGGGCAATGTGACAGCGGTGAGCCTCCAGATCAGGCTTCTTAGGTCTTGGAGGCGGTGGGTTTGAAGGCACGCGGGTTAGTGAGCTGGCAGTTTTGGACGGGCTGGTATGCTTGGCACCCATTTGTGGCGGTTGGGGTGCGTGGCGCTTGCTGGGAGACTGCTGCTTCCTTACAGACACGGCGACGGCCACTGGCATGCTCTTCGGCCTCGTGGTTGCCGTCGAAGGTCCAGGTGGGGGCGGAGCAGGGCGCCGGCGTGACATCGAGCGAGGGGGAGGGGGGCGAGGGGGGGCTTGCCTGGAGTTACCGTTCAGTTTGACACTGTGCTGCTGCTGCTGCTGCTGCTGCTCACTAGCTTCACCGCTGCTGCCTGACGGCTTCATGGATGCGTCCTCCGCATTCTCCGGGGTCGTGGACTTTACAGCATTTGGAGGAGGATCGTCGTCACGGCCGCGACGGCGCTGACGAGTCTGGAGGAACAGAGGAGTAACGAAGCACAGAGGACCACTGGAATGTCTTCTCTCCAGATGAAAGGAAGGTGGAGAGGCGTGGGGCCGTAGGGTCGGTGGAGCGCTGTCACAGTGAGGCTCAGTGTTTCCCTGCTGTGACCCCTGGGCCTCCCTGTTCCTGTTGGTCCGCTGGAGGCTAAGGGTCCGGCTCAGAGGGCGACCGGGGCGAGGAGGAGTGCGACGCTGGCTGCACAGGGCAGAGTCCCAGAATCCTGTGAAACACAGACACACACACAGAGAGGCAAACATTAACTACCTCAAGCTAAACACATACTTCTCCTTGGACAACTCAAGGTTCCCAGAAAATGGATTACTCCTAAATAACAACTAGGATCAGGAGTCTTCACATTTAAAGAAAAAGAAAAAGAACATATGAAGAATTAAAAAAAGACAGAATCTATTTCTTACCAGCAGTGAGTTAAGCCCTCAAAGTTCTCCTAAGTTTTCTCTCTGCCTGGTTGTAGCTTTCCTCTCGTCAGTGGCAAAAATGCCGTGAGTTCAGCCCCTCTGATTCACAACCAGCAAACACACAAAGAGGGAGTCGCCCATGCTAATGACAGAGTGGGAGGGAACTAAACACACCACCCGGCATAGAGCTCCAGATTCTGCACTCCTTCTTCATGTCCTGTTTTCCTTTTCAAATATGTCTCCAGCTCCCCTTTGTGAGTAACAGCTTTTCTGTTCCTATAGATTCATCTTTTGCTGTGTGCAAACCTTATTTTATATCATTTCTTTTTTTATGGACAGTTTAAGTTTCCCATAACAGTGGATACCACATGTTTCCTCTTTGATGTCATGTGTGCCTTTCCACTGAATCATCTCGTTTGTTTTTAAGTTATTAACAAGATAGTCCTCCTGCAAGTTTAAAAAAAATACAGCATGAACAGAAAGAATCCACCCAGGCTTAAATGAAACAGTTCTAACGCATGTCATTTATCCACACTGAAAAGAAGAAGCAACAGGTCAGGCCACTTAAAAATAGCGATGCAGTGACAGCAGCAGAAGCCAACTGATGACAGTTCCTTCAGGCTAAAAAAAGGAAACCTCAACCCTGCCTTTCCCAGAGCAGTAAAGAAGCACGCTCCAGCTGATAGAGCAGCTTTATATATGACCTTTGTTACCTCAGTGTCTGGAGACTGAAATGTGATTGTGGTATTCTCTCTTGTCCATGTGAGCAAGGACCACCTGACACAGTGGAGTCTGTCCACACTGCAACCAGCAGCACACTCAAGAAACTGTTAACTCTCAGATATAAATTCAGATTTCTCTAATCTCTAATACAAACAAATGCGGTTAGCAACTAGACCGAACAACTACAAGACAGCAACAACATTGTGCTGGTGGCATTAAATGTACTGTGGTTCTAGTTGCATAATCAGCAAGAAAATATGTTTTTACAGCCCCAATTTCCTCAATAGAAAAGGAAGAGCATACTCAACAAGCAGAGTGAATTAAACTTACCACCCCTTCAAATCAAAGGCCTCCCAGTTACAGGGTCAACTGTGCACCTTTGGACGCTAAAAAAAAGCTTGTGTTGTACTAATGCTGAAGGTAAACTAGCCTCGCTTGAAAGCAACAAAAATGGGAACAGATTAAGATGAGTTCAACAGATCAACGCATTTTCATATCATAGCCATTTTTAAATATAAAACTTAATATCAGGGTTGACATCGGCCAGACACCCAGTTTGCAGACATGCTAGCAGCTCTGTGAGGATCATTTCAGCACAACGATGCTTTGAGAAAAATATGAACGAATATAAGGTCACTTACAAAACAGCGACAAAAACGTCTCCTCCTTACTTTAACTCTCTCATCCAGGTCTACACTCCCTCCTGCCCACTACGCTCTGCCAATGAAAGGCGTCTGATCCAACCTTCACAACAGAGTCCTAAGTCTCTGACTAGACTCTTCTCCTCTGTCGCCCCCCGGTGGTGGAATGAACTTCCAAACTCCATGTGATCTGCAGAGTCCCTCTGCACCTTTAAGAAAAAGCTAAAGACCCAGCTCTTTCATGAATACCTACTAACTTAATGATGATGGTCTCCATATTATTGATGATGATGATGGTAATGACGATGGTTTTTGTTTGATAACGTCAACTTGTAAGATGGTTTCTATACTGATTAGAGCTCTCAAGAACTGCCCTCAATGTTGTGCTTTGCCTCTGGTCACTTCCTGTCAGTACCTGTGTGTCCAATCAGACTCAAAGCTGATCGTTTGCTCTTACTGACATTGTTCCCTTTTTTCTAGATCCTTGCTTGTGTTGTTCTTACTCTCTGATGTACGTCGCTTTGGATAAAAGCGTCTGCTAAGTGAATTGTAGAATTGTATAAGAATGTGGAGACATCCTCTCAATAACCAAGCTTAATTTTTGGGTGAGATTGTGCCTGTTTTAGTATGTTAATCTTGTAGTATGAAAGCATGTTAACATTAATGAATATATACTTAACCTATTGTTTCATGTAGCCCGACCACTAAATCAGTAGTTATGTTAGCTAGGAAAGGTTCATTCAACAAATGGTTGAATGCTTACGCTTAGCAAATGTCTTACGCACCCTAAGGGAGATGAAATATTATTTTAATCCAATACACGGCCTAATCGCTTCGGATTTTCCCTTCCAACTGTCCATTGAGTTGCTGATCTATAAGGAAGCTGTGATATGATGAACTATTTTATACAAAGTTTTTATCTTATCTTATTTGTCTGATTCTTATTAGCAATTCAACTTGCAACTTGGAACACAGCATTGTGTAAACAGAGATTTTGTTTCTTGCCCTGAATTTGATGTCAGGGGAAACTGTCCGCCATGTGAATTTGTTGTGTTGCCAATAAATCTTACCCTTTCTGAGACATACTCACAAAACCACTATTTTTCAATGGTGCATGAAAACACAACGTTCTTGCACAACTTCAGCCCTCAGGTTCTTCTGGAATGCAAATCAGCCTCTCTAAGACACTGCAAAAAAGTCCAACATCTATTAATAGTAGTGACCCCTAGACTGTTGGGGACATGTGTTTTTGTTTCACATGTGCGTGCCTAGCTTCCACGACATAACGGCTCGCCTCCTTTTTTTTAATCTTTTAATAGAAGCTTCCCATTGGAGAAGGGGAGTTTCCCTTCATGACCGCACATCTAGTTAAGAAACGCTAAAGCTGGCTCACACTTAAAAAAAGGCCTTTCAACATCTCCCACTTCACATCAAATATAAAAACAAGCAATGCAGAAGACATTTCAGAGCAAGCCTACACCCACGTCTATTCACAAGATTCCAACACGCGAACACAAAAGCAGCTTTTCATGTTTGTAGAAGCTGTGACACAGTTTGCTGCACATGTTACGTTAGCACTTATACTAGCAATCCTTGAGCGTTTTCATACACACTCGAATGTGGTATGATGGTATGTGTTTGTTTAGACAGCACCGTAGCTTTCCACTCACCACTCCCTTCTCCCCACACACTAAGCTCTGAGTTATGTCGTACACTTCCACTGTAAGAAGCTGACTCACTGCAGCTTCACAGCAGCAGAGCCCAGAATAACTCCACACAGATGAAGTGACTAAATATGCTGTGAAACAGACCTGAGTGTTCGGGTCATTTTAAGAATAAAAATAAATAAGATCTGCTGCACACACAAGGCCGGCTGCTCCCCATTTGCTAGTTTAGTTTCATAATTTGTAACCTGAAAGAAACCTGGCACCACTTGCTTAAGGTGAATGTGGAAAGTGCAACACTGCTGTTATGACTTTTTAACTTCAATCTTGTACACTTGTTTACCTCTTCTAGAATCTAGCATTTCTATTTTGATATTCTTCCTATGTTGAGATTCCTTTCAGCTCATGCTTTTACAGTATGTAAGCTACATGCAGTGAACACATCACACCACTGTCACATTGGACTTTCTTTAAAATGCACCAGCAACTTCATATACAGTACTATATCGCACTTCTTTAAGCCCAACATTGTAACATTGTACAATACAATAATTTTTGTTGTTGTCTTTTTTTTAAGAGTTTGGAATAAAAGATCAATATAAATATTTTTTTCTGCTATGAAGAAAACCAGGAAGTGATTATATTCTAGTTTAGGATGAAACTGGGCATGGGGGGGACACCTATCCAAGCTTTGTTATAAAAAAAAAATGTATCTGATTTATTTGATTTGAACGACATAGATAATATATATATATATATATAAAAATAGAAAATGGATCAGCACAGCAAACCTCCTCACTGTCTCCAGAAGTAGGCTTTAAAAGCTCAAGATTTAATAAAACAGGTCGTTGACAATGTTGAAGCGCTGAATGCGAGAATAGTCAAACCAAGTGACAATTTAAAAACCTCATCGAGCACGTGGGTCAGTGGGAAGGAATGACAAAGTTGAGGAAAGCATTGGATGTTTTCCAGAATAAAACAAACAACATAATATCATGTATATCTGTATAGTTTATAATTAACACAAGACATATGTGATCAAAAATACTTGAACATATTTTATCTTTGCCTTTTATGAAATGAAATAAATTAAAGCTTGCAGAATTTTCCCCCTGGGGACTGAAAAAAAGTATTTCTGATTCTGAAATGAACTTTGTGGAATAGTCTCCTGCAGCATCAAATATCTAGCTGATCTAATGCCTTTTTTAAATTACCAATAGGTTTAACTTAACTAGAGGAAATATATATGTAAAAACTGTACAATGATCTAAGTGTTGTTATTCTAAAAAATATTGATGCTGAATGTTAACTATAATTTTACTTATGACTTCCCCTGCAGCATTGTCGTTAAAGATTTTAATTTCAAACCAGATACAGAATCTCAAACCTAAGAATCAAATGAGGGCTACCTGCTCCAAGCTGAGCCACCTCCTCCAGCTCTTTCTGAGTCTTTGCAGAAGCAATGGCCTCTGGGAGTTTGAGTGAGAAAGGCAGGACGTCCCTAAATGAAAGATGAACACACAATCAATAAATCAGAAACAAGTAATCATTAGAAAAATCAAATCAAAGGGGGAAAACTGCAGCAGCTGAATGGAATTGCCCTTCAGGGTTTGACTTGTGAAACTTCAAACTTGAGAGTGCTTCTACATGTCTCCTCCTGTTAACTTTTCTGTTTGTTTTATTGCTCAATGGTCAGGGTTAGAAAGACCATTGTCCTCAGTTTGACAGATATATCATCAGAAAAAACTGATGAAATCACACATTGTTTGGCAAAAACAAACCTGCACACTGGCATACAGAGAAGTGAAAACATGTTCAGTCATCATTTTAAAAACTTGGCAACACACCGTTTGTTTCCAATACAAACACAGATACACAACATGTGCAGATGAAGGAATATATTGAATCATATTAAATATACAAAGTCAAGAACAAACATTAAAAAATGAACTTTCACCTCAAGACATTTAAAAACTATTCATATTTAGGAGGGAGCTGTTTAATGTGCAGTCTTCTCTTTAGTCCAGTCCACTGTTTTTGTGGATATCGCTCACGGCACAATTTCCTCCGTCTGTTTTTCAAACTCCTGCATCTGTCTGTCTGCGTCTCCAGGGCTGGCATGAGCTAAAACAAGAAGTGAGAGCCCTGGGCACGAAGAGCTGACATGCTGCTTAGTGGACAAAACAAATGTATCAACATCCATGGAGTTTCCATCCTGTGATCATCACAGAGTTAAACAAAAGAGAGTTGGGGGGGGGGGGGGGGGGATGTGTGGAGAGCGAGTTGGTTGTTTACCTGCTGATACAGTAGAAAGCCACGAGGCGGAACAGATCTGCAAAGCTGATCCCAGATCCCTCAAGGGAAAAGGCTGGAATCAAATAAAATGTGTAAAGATTAAAGCACTTTTTTTAATACCATAAACTCTATACCAGAGGTGTTTACACTGCTTTTGGGGTTTGGGACTCATTACTGCTTACGAGTATTTATTTATTGCTGCTTACTTACTAAACAGTTTCTGCACATTTAAACAACTACATGGCATCACAGCCCCAGTGAATAAAGCTAATTAGTAGTAATCATTTTTAGTAGTAGTAGTAATAATCATTTATTTCGGTCACAAGAAAAAACAAAAACATTTTTTTGACCGAAAAGGTGTAGGCTGAAGCCTTATCTTATTACACCTAACCTTATTACAAATCTTATTAATTAAGACACTACTAGTTTGATTACAACAAATAAAACATATCAGAACAAAATTTGTTCCAAGAATTTCTTTAAAAACAAAACAAATGAAACAAACAAAAAACTAATCACCTAGTGACTTGATAAGTTAATTCACAAAATGTACTTGTTATTTTCAAATATCAGGGGCGTGGGAAGCATCACGGTTTATGTCCACATAGTAAAGTGTTTGTGAGGTGAGAGCCTGTTTGTATCACAGCTGTTTGTTTGAGTTTGATTTTTCAATATACAGTAAGCATGAAGTGATAATGTTTCACTTTGCAGCAAGTTGGAGTTAGTTGACAGTCGCCTGCTTCATCCCTTTTTTGTGTTTTTGTGTGACTATATGTTTTTTTTAAATGTTTCAACAGTACAAGTGCACTTCAAGAGGCCGCCATAGAAAGGTAAATCCCTCGTTCTAGGCAAACTTCTGTTTTTGTCAATGTAGGTTGGCAGGTGTTAGAGACAATGTGAAGCATTGGTTTTTCCAACTTAGGGTCTGGAGATCTCAGGTGGGAGGCGAGGCTCTGTCTACTCTGAGATTGTCAAAATAAGATATGCACACATTCAATGAAATCATGTTTAAAACATTACTGGGAAATGTAGACATGTAGGTCTTTTTGGTGAAAACAAATTGTGTAGGCATAATCCGATTTTATCGATGAAAACTATTCTAATTTATGTTCGTTTGGTGTGGGTCCTGGGGGGGGGGGTATTCCGCTTTTCTTGGATACAAGGAGCAGGGGCTCCACGGAAAAAAAAGGTTTAGGAACAACTGATGTAGAGGTTGTTTCCAAAAGAACAGCATCTTACTCTCAATGTTCCACTTGATCTAGTTATCTTTATTGAAGGATCCTTCATGTAATGTAGACGCTTAGAATAGATCCGTCTCTGACTGCTGGCTGAAGCATGTACTGGTACATTTCTAAAACTTTTTATAACCATTAGTCATTCAGAGTGCTAAACATTAAAAGCATGGGCACTGGAAAAACAAACAGTATTAACCTTTAGAATGTACTGTGGCTGTTGTAAAGCCCAAATCATTCATGCACAAAGGTAACTGTAGGCACCGTTGGCAGTCTGACAGGCCAAGTTGAGAGTAGCTGACCCACATCTAAAGGCAAACCAGGGCAAAGGCACAGCACCCCCCATCCCCCCCATCCCCTCTCCCCAACCAACTTCCTCGTGTTTCAGCAGGGAAAATCCACAGCTGGTGTGTCATCACACTTTGGCACTGCTACAACTCCATGACTAATTCTCAAACTCAACCACTGTGCTTCAATACAGGACTTATTATTGTAAGATTATAAGAGATTGAAAAAACTACAGATTACAACCTTTGTTTTATTGTTATTCTAAATGATTATTGTTTTAAATAATCCACACTCCTTCCACACACACGCTTCAGTATGTTAGCGCCTCTGTGTTTAGAAGATGAAACACATGAAATGAAACTGATATTTGACCACACTGCCGTCCCTCCGCTCACATAGTCTAATTTCTTGTTTGCGTCATTGTTTATCTTTAAGACAATATATGCAGAGGAAAACAGGAAGTGACATATTTAACTCTGTGACCCAGATGTGGCTGTGGTTCAACACTCGAATCAGAGTTTGTTTGGAGTTTTAATCTGTGATGATTCATTGTAATTGGGTTATCTAAATGATGTTGATAACTCCACCCCTCAAAGTTAACCTGATGAACAGACGTATCAGTTCAATTTGATTTGAAATAAACACTAAAGAAAAGCTAAAAGCATTTATTTATTAATCTTACAAAAAAGAATGTAAGGCTTTCATCTAGTCATTGATTGGATATTTCATTATCTTTCATATAGATAATAAAACGCACATGTTTGTGGTTTATATAAACCTGCAGTGCAACAAAATAAACTAAGACATCCATTTGATTAAATCACTTGCTTAGTGTTTAGAATCATTTCTTCATATTTTGCATTCCTACTTATTTGAATCATTCTGGTATGTGTGTTTTTGTAGCACACTGTGATAAAAGAATGTTTTATTTTTGTTTAATTCATAACTTCCATACTTTCAAACACTTTCTTTACCTTTAAAGCTTAGGTTGTAACAGTTCTAAGATTATTAAACTATCAGGACGACTAGGATACATTTTTTTTTTTTAATCACTTTCAAAACTCATTTGCACTCTGCCTACAAGTGTATGGGGACATCAGAAAAACGTCACTTTACACACTGGTAGACCATGTGTGTTGTAAAGTTCAGGTTACTTACTGTACTGGCTCTCTCTGACAGGGAAGTGGCTGATGGGAGATCCTGACAGACCCTCCTTCAGACGCACAGACAGAACTTTTCTCTGCAGGACAGCTGACCTCCTCACCACAAACACCTGGACATGGAATCAGAAATCATTCAGTAAAACACAGTTGAATAAAGTCAAATGGAAACACATGTACCCAAGGTAGGTAATCCCCCTCACCCCTGGTGGCTGCTTGAGTAGAATGCGACTGGCTTCCTCCTCACTGAGCGCCAGCAGCAGCCACACCGGATGGGTTTGAGTCAGCCTGTCCAACACGCTCATCCTCCTCCGCAAGGAGTCGTACCCAGAATCCCTTTCAACTCCTACGACGCCACAGTGTGGGGACTGCAGGTAAACACCGCTCAACTCACTTTCCATCCTGGCAGAGAGACAGAGACAGAATTAAACACTTTTGTGCCATCTGCTGGTGTACATGAGTACCAACACGTTGTGGCACTTAAAGATACTCCAGAAGTAGGAAATGTAAAAAAAAAAAAAAAAAAGATTTCCTCATTCCTCAAAAAGAGCTGCCTCATTAATATCACACTTTCAGATGATTTCAGTCATAAAACAGAAGACTAGTCGAGTTTAATAAAGTCTAAATTAAAATTGTAAAAAATGCAAAAAAGATAAATAAATAAAAGTCTCACCTCTGTTGGTCCGTTGGCTCCTTGTCTGTGGTTGGGGAGATCTGGACCATCTCTTTCGTCAGCTCCCCGATCTCCAACGCAAACGTGTCAATCAACTGGAAAGGAGACAGAAAGAGAGGCTTTGACTGATGAGGAAGTCGAATAAGGAGAAGAGGAGGGGTGGCGAAGTAGTAAATGAAACTGACAGCATTCCTCAAATGTGAATTAGGAAGCAAGAAACTGAGACAACGTTTCTGTACTTTTCCCCGTCTGAAACAAAGAGCAGGGAAATCATTAGGCATTTTTACCTGTGGACCTCATTTCCTATAGACAGGAAACATGAAGACAAAGCATTAAAGAAAATCCCTCAACATTAATGCTCAGAGTGGAGACCCACATATAAATCTATGCCCAATGTGTCTCAACTTAAAATGCAGTTCTTACAATAAACAGCTGAGATGTGTTAACATCTGACAGGAAGGCCTGAAAGACCTTTTCAGGCCTACAGAGATATAGGTCTTAATCAGTGTTAAGCACCGTTGAGTCTAAAGGGAAGAGTGGGTGAATACCAAAGATCCAATGATGGCAGGATGAAAACTAATGACAGGATCGTGTCTCTGTGCTGCTTTGAGTGTTAGCCCACAACTCATTCTTTAGGATTCACATACTGATTACAAAAATATGGAAGGGTGTTTTTCCCCTAGATTAATTAGGCAGATCAGAGACTTCAATGCATAGACAGACCCCAGATGACCCAGTAAAAGTCAATAAAAAGCTTTATCTTCACTTCAAAGCCAGGCAGTTGTACACAGGTCTGAACACAGCAAACACACCAGGCTATAATCCAACCCAAGAAGCATGGGAAATTTAAAGTGGTGAGAATGTCACTGCTTTCATGTGATAAAAGGATTTTGTTTGCAAAAAGAGGTCGGGAATGGAACAAGTTCAGTGAAAAACCAGCGAAGCCAGAACAACAGTGCAGAATGCAAAGTGAGGAGAGAACTATTTGGTCTTGATGAATAAATCCATTTGACCAAAATTACTTAAAACATGGGGGACATATGCAGGTAAATATTAGCCTCTGCCTCATAAACTTTGCATTAAGATATGTAATTTAATTTTCAGTATTGTTTTATGTTGTAACGTTTAGCTGCAATGAAAACTGCTGTAGCTGTCCACTTAGAGAAACCTCGATTATTATTAGACAGAGATCTATATTATGACTTAAAGCTTGTGAACACACCCAAGATCCAAGAACTACATCCAAACTCTGGAAATGGGACCAACAGAGAAGCAGATGAACATCACCGGATAACACTAAAAATCTACTGGTTTAAAAAAGAAGAACTCTGAGAGGTTCAATTAAAACAGGCCGAAACAAACAACAGACTGTACATGAACAGGGTTTACTAGTGACCAAATCAGGAGCAGCTGATTAATGAGCACAGGTGTAGGTGATCAGTAGATAAGGAGAAACAATGAAGCAAACTGCTGTAAATGTTGACGAGTGGTCACACTTCAAAAAACACAACTTGTTTTTTTAGGAATCTCTTGCAGGATACATTTTTAAGGACTTTATATTAGCAGCAGAAATTAATCCTTAAATATCAGAGCTATAAATCCCCAAAATTGCCATCTTGAAATTAGAGTTTAAAATTAGAGTTTAAAAACTGCTTAGTTGCATAAAGACAGTATTTAATTGCTGTAAAGCTGTTTTGCTTGTTTTTACATTCTCCCATCGGACAGTTCATATAACTCTCAGATTTTTGAATGCCTCATCAGACATATTTGAGCAGATGTTAAAATATGAATGCTGTACATTAATAAACTGGGTCAAACTGTTAAAAAAAAGATGGCTTCCTCAAAGAGTTTTTTTTCTTCATAAATCATTTCATCTGTCTATACCGAGCTCAATTTAATGAAAACCAGGAAGTGGATTACAGAAACATTTTTTCAACATAACTATACACAGAACATGTGTCATTAAATAAGAGTTGTTTGGATTTTGTAATCTCCACCCATGTCGTGTAAACAGAAACTATTACACAGAAAATAATCGGTTTTATTTTCCTGCTGTGTGTGTGTGTGTGTGCGTGTGTGTGTGTGTGTGTGTGTGTGTGTGTGTGTGTGTGTGTGTGTGTGTGTGTGTGTAAGATATTCTGCTTCTTTTGTACATTTCAGCCAGTAGGAGTCACTCTCTTCCAAACTTTCCTCCAGCAGCTTGGCTCCAGGCCAGACCGTACCCACCACAGGACTCTCTAACTCTCCCCCCTCGCAGGACTAAGTGGAGCCAGCTCTGTTTAAGCCTCCTACTCCCCCACTGGCTTTGTTTCAGGTCAAACATCTATTACACAACACAAGTCCAGAAGAAAGTGGCACTGGCTCTGGGGAAATGTAAACTGTCGGTTGAAACAGACTCTGGGAACTCAGTTTGAACCCTCGTGAAGACAGGAGACGATGTTAAGAGTCCTGATAGATGACGAGAGCTGGAGAGAGAGAGAGGAGCTCACTCAGCCACCACAGAGAGCAAATGTGTCCATTTGAATAACAGAATTAGTGCAATGGACGCATCTTAAACATAGAAAGACACAGAGCTGGAGAGCTGACAAAAGTAATTAGTGTAATTTGAATACAGTATATTGAAGATGACTAGAACATTTGAAATCATAAACTTATTTGGGAAAATGTCACTGACGTAATAGATAGAGAGAAAATTTGCCTTTTCAATCAGCCTTCTTGCGTTGTACAAAAAGGAGTCGCCCCCTGCTGGCTATTAGAAAGAATACAGGTTTTGGGTAATTACTAGTTTTTAGATCGGAAGGCTACTTTTTAAAGCCTATTGAGTGAACCAGACAGTGCCAGAGGGGCCCAGCTGCTCAATCTTCTCCAATTAAATTTTAATAATCAGATGACAAAAATAAGTAAAAGAGACTTTTTACATTCAGTTAATGAAGAGGCATTGGATTAATGAAATGGGTGAACAGGGCCAGAGGAGGAGACATGGCAAATTCCTGAGCTATGAAATGAGGGGCCAGAGAACATGAGATGTTAGTGAGCGACTCTGTTGGCAAAGTGCCGCACGGAGCTGTAGAGGTGGTGCCCCTGCAGGATTATTTTAACACCGATGATTTTTGGAGGAAATTATTGATTTCCAGAAAAACACTCATCAACTACGACGGTCTGCTTCACTCACTGAACCTCCTCAACTCCATTCATCGGTTTTATTTTCCTGCTGTGTGTGTGTATGTGTGTGTATGTGTGTGTCTGTGTGTGTGTGTGTGTGTGTGTGTGTGTGTGTGTGTGTGTGTGTGTGTGTGTGTGTGTGTGTGTGTGTGTAAGTGTTTCTCTGCATGGACTGCTGTTAAAGCCATGCATGCAGTCAATGGGAAACTATGTGTTTGGTTTTTACACGCAGAGCGCTTTCACAGGGCGAGTGAGGATGAAAAAAAAACTGCCAGGGCTTTTAAAAATGAGAGAGTTTGTTCCTTAGGTCATTGTAGAGCCTGCTCTTATTGCATCTTTTTTTAGCTCTGAAAGTGCTTTAAAGTCTTCATGTGTTAGGCGACTGTCTGAGTGAGGTAAGAGGCAGCCGGGGGAGTGGGGGGACCTGTGAACCTGAATATGGAAACAGCGTGCAAGAAAAGTTTACAATCCCTTACTTCACAAAATGTGGTGATGAAGGAGTAATGGACAGGAAATAAGAATTCGGCTACTCATATAATGTTTTTTTGAGTCTGAAAATGCAAAATTGATTGTGTAAAAAAGGTGGCACAAGTTGATTAACAGCATACACAAAACAAAACATAACAAATCAGTGTGATGTCATAAAGCGCCTTTGAAATATTTTCTTCCTGTCAGAGTCATGTCATGATTTTGTGGGTCAATGTCTCCCCCGACTTGCCTTGATTAAATCAAATACAAATACAAATTATAAGAAAAGTGATAAATTGTTATTTTTTGTTCAGTCCCGAGTCACGCACTCATTTACACAACAATGACTTTTGTACTTTGGGAATGGGAGACAAACTATGCAGAAGAGAATACATAAACCGGGTTCAGAATTTAGTCAGACAATTTGCATTGGCTCTTCAGTACAAAGATTAATCTAATCCTTTTTTTTATTTACAGTTTAGTACTGCACCAAATCTACATAATATCTAATGTCATGAGTCATTAGATATCATGTCAGAGTCAGAGTCCCCCCACCTACGCAAAAAAATCCGCTGTTATCTGTAAAAGTCATACTGACTTTTCATAAAGGATTTTAGTCAGCTCATGAGTCCGTGAAGTTAAGGTCCATTGACTGATAATTCACACCACCCTCATTTCTTCAATCCGTAGTGTATCTTGTGGAAGTTTAGACTTCTTGTGAAAATTGATGTCAATAATAAAATAATATATGATACTGAATTTGTATCCGACTTGTTTTGATTGGACACTGAAGGATTTGGGATGGTTTCTGTTTCTGGGTCTCTGAAAGGCACAAATAGAAGCAGGGTTCAACCTAGTGTTCATAAATGAAGTGTGTTGCTATTAAAGCTACTTCCTGAAGATGGACACCTAGTACAATGGAAGGTTCAAACTCAAGGTGGAGTTAGGTCAACCTTTACACTGACAAGTGTAACAAGGCTTTCATCTACTTTATGAAGTGTTTGGTTTGGATGAATGACATGAATATGTGAATGGTAGTCGGCAGTTCTCCTCGATAAAACGGACATGATGTTTTAAAAATAACAAGAATATAACATCTGAGACTGCAGGGACAGAAGTGCTTATTTCAGAAGCAGAGATTGGCGAGAGATAAAAGGTAGAGAGGTGGGGGTATGAGAGAGAGAGAGAGAGAGAGAGAGAGAGAGAGAGAGAGAGAGTTTTATTACTCCTCTGAATGTGTTTGTCTCACAGCCAAGATGTGCAGCTGACATTCTTCACTTCTAGCACTCCTTCAATACATGGCAGTGAGAGAAGGGAAACCTTTACAAAGACAACTCCATTTTGGTTTCTCATCAATCATCACGAAAGTTTAAAGGTAATTGGCTGTTCTACCCAATTCAACAAAGTGAATAATCTCCTGAAAGACGCTCAATTCTCTTACCACTGATCTTATATTAGCGCATTTCAGCATAAAACTTGATTAATATTTTTTTAGCAATGTTTTATTACTATGATCGAGGGACTGTAAAGGGAATGTAAACTAGCTCCAGGCTAACTCTGGTACAATTCATCAAATGGCAACCATAAATAAATAAAAAGAATATAAGATAAAAAAATAATTCAATACATTTTCAGGCAGCGCCAAGATTAAAAAAAACCAGCAGATGTCATGGCCGGTAGCTACTTCAGCGACATGTCACTGCATTTAAATCAATTTAAATGCAGGTGGCATACGGTCTAGGGACAGGCACATGCCGCTGGCCCCCTAGTGGCATGCCACTATCCATTTTCTGATCTTAATCAAATTCTCTTCTGAGTAAGAAAATGTTCATGACAAACAAAAAAGAACTCAAGCATGTTTGTAATAGAGGGTACAGTACACTATAATGTGAGGTCTTTCCTTTATTAGTTACTTTAAAGGCTTTATATGGATTTTTTGATCCAGCAGATGTCGCCCTTGATCACCAGCATGAAACCAAAACAACTTGCGCTGCATTGTTGTGTTAGCATGCTAATGCTAGCTATCTTTATTATGCTGGTATCTTCACACTGCATGTAAATTTACCTGAAATGAGCGTGATCTAGAAACACAGTTAAGCAGTGAGTACAGTATGTTATTCTTCTTTTCTCTAGTCCCTCAATTAAACAACTTTTATACACGAGGGGAGGAGTCAGCCGGCCGTCCCGGCGATGTAAACAAACTGAAGATAGGACTCTGAAAACTCTGAAAACATCACAGACAGTGGGACTCGGGTGTTACACCCATTGTAGACAGTCATGACTCACAGAGTTATTTTCAGAGGAAATACTTGATTTATGTTACATTTAAGTGTGAAAAATCACATAGATAGACTTTAAGCAACGTACAGCAGAGTGAATTCTGAATCATAGAGAAGAATGAATTGGGTAAAAAATATCAGGTTCTGTTTTGTCGTTTGTCTTTCTTGTAAATGTTCATCTTGAGAAGGTTCAGAAATAATAATGTTTTTCATGCTTGTATGTAATCTTATGAGAAAGTCCATGCATGATCATCGTTACTTACTTTAAAGAAGCTCCCGCTCCGGTCTGTTAGGCCACTGGGGGGAGTCCCTGGTGGTGTACTGGCAGCCATGTTTTCCTCCCGACAACAGGACTGGGTGACTCTCACTGGGTCTGGGTGTGTCGTTACGTCTGGGACAGCGTCTCCAGGAGTCAAATCTGTGCGGGTCAAAAAACACACTTAACTGTGGTGCGGGCAAGCCAGAGGAAATTCCTAGTTCAGCCACAGTCAGTATTACAGAGAGAGGCTGGTGGACTGGAATGCTTTCAGTGTGACTCTCTCTCTCTCTCTCTCTCTCTCTCTCTCTCTGTCTGTCTGTCTGTCTGTCTCCTCTCTCCCCTCTCATCTCACTCTTCACACATTCAATTCACCTTTTCTTCTCCTTTCACTTCCCTGCCTTGATCCTCTCGGTTCCCCCACTCCTCCATTTCAGATAATTGCCTCAATCCTTTTTTTTTTTTATCTCATTCCAATTCCCAACTTACTTTCAGCCCAAACTGCTGTCCTTCATTACCTGATTCTCCTGTTTCGTCCCCTCTCTCACATCCCCTCTCTTTTTTCTTTTGTTCCCATGTCCTTATACAAAAAATAAACTATTTAATTTGTCATCTCCGTGAGTTGAGTCCTTCACAGATTTCCTAGTTCCCATCATACAGTAGAAGCAAGTTTAAGTTTTGTTTTGTCTTTAAAAAAGGTTTGGTGGTATTCAATCTGACAGAGTCTATGATGAGCTATATTCCCATGTTTGCTCTTGAGTTGTTTCTGTTTCCCTGACCTCTTAATTTGACTCTTTTCTATTTCTTTATCTTTATCCCTATCTGAAGATTATTTTTTTTAATTCCCTCTCCCTTCCTAATTTCAGCCTCAAGGTTCCCACAAAGCAAATTGCTCTGCTTGTTTTCCAATCCACACATGCACTTTTATCTCACATAGGAAGGAAGCTATCTGCCCCCCCTCAGCTCAGTCGACTCTGACAATTAAAAAGAGTGCAGAGGCTCGGGTCAGGAAAACGTACTTCCAGAAAACTGAATGTGAAACTGATTCTAAACATGGAGAACAAACTGCACTACATGATGATGGCATTGACAGTGTACAACAACAGTTACAATTGTAATGTCTTTGGATCAACTATAAATCATGACACAGTGGATGCCAGTTTTCCATCATGAGATAGAGTACCATATGCAAAACAAAACCACACTCAAGCCTTCTACCTTGACCAGTTGTGTAAAGATTGAGAAAGGAATATAGACATATATCGTCCATGTTTGGTGGCTTCTGTCTTCTCAATATGACATTACATCAAGTCCATGCAAGTCATACGTCTTCCCATGTCCTCACCACCAACCTACTTGAAAAGCAGCACAAAATACAACTTAAGGAGACTGAATGTAGCAGTCTAAAGTAGTTCCTATGCTGCTTTGTGTTTTTATGGTAAACTGTAAGAAAGCACATTTAGTGTATCAACTTTTGTAGAAGCATTTGGAGCCAAGCTTGTTCTTACAGGCCCCTGGTGGCCATTCATTATTAAACACTAATTAAATTAGGCATCATCTTGTAGGCCTTAAAATAAACTTTGTTACAAATACCTGATAGAGAAATCATCAACAATTATTCTAATGATTATTAATTGCAAAATTTGTGGTAAGTCAAGCCATGATCCTAAAAACTGCTTTTGTATCTTGGGTTTTGTTTTGTCCACTAAATCATTTCAACATTTGTCTTGGTCAATTTTGACCCTTATCTGACATTGTCTTAACCAATAGTTGCTCAATTGAACAAAATTCCACACAACAGATTACAAAAAAAGAAAGAAAATAACAGTGGCAGCACAAACATACATCACTGAAGTGACTGTAGATAAATGAACGCCATACTTTTCTCCATAGTGTATCTGGTGACCTGTACAGAGAAGTAACTATCACCCAACTGTCCTCAGAGCAGAACTGATAGTCTGGCTCTGGTTTCATTTCCACAGAGACAGACAAAAATAGAAGAAACAAAACAGGGGAGGAGAATGAGCTTAAAAATAAAAAATGAGAGTTAAATTTAAAAATAAAATCCTGACGCATACATTTCATGGAAATCAGTTTGTGATGATTCTTTCTGTTTCTCCACTGATTACTCAGAAGATGATATGAAACTCAAAGTGCTAAGGAAAACTCTTGCTTCCAGATGGACAAACCTCTGAGCCTCTGAGATATTGTTGGTATCTATGATGAACTGCCACCACGACAGCGCTTATTTGTTAAAACCGGTGAGAATGTCCTGAATCCCACCACCAACCAAACGAACGATTTATCCTGGATTAGTGTTACAATGTTTTACTCAGTGCACACATGGACTGTTGTGTCTATGTGCGTACTTCTACATGTGTTTGTGTGTAAGAGTCTCAGTTACTACACTGTGATTAAGACTTTGTACTTTCACATTGCATCTGGTGTCCCAGTGTGTGAATTAACATCGCAGCGTCGCTGAAACTAGGAGGCATGGTGTGTAAACACACAGCAAAAATTTCACATACACACACACTCAGACACACACATACTGTACGAACACACAGCTCCGGCTCCAACGTTACACATCGATTTCGTCAACAGTGCTACTCATTGCATAAGAGGTATGACAGGGCAGTGTTTCCCCTAAGTTTACAGATTTGGGGGGGAGGGGGTGCAGGAAGACGGACGCATCATCATAAGTGTGTGCATGTGGTGTGAATGTTACACAAGCTCAGATCCATTTCAACATAAAGACATGCATTCATAATTCTTTTTGATTCATGTAAATTAAAAGACACAAAGAAAGATACACCCCCCCTCCCAAATAACAGAGTTTATAATGTTGAACATAATAACAAAGAAAAGGAGAAACCGCAGGTATTCATTATGCTATGTGTTTTGTTTTTCTTTGAACGCCCACTCCTGGTGGCAGGACCTTCATTTCCTCTCAGTGGATATCATAGCTGTGAGGTTGCGCTATGTCATTGCTAATGAATAGCTTAGTGTTTCATAGTGGTTACAGATGTGTGGTTAAAAGTGGCAGATCAGGCTAGATACTTTGAAAGTGATAATTTTCCTGGATTCATTTTCTTAATAGCAAGAGAGAAAAAGTTAAATGATTTATTAACCACTCGTTCAAAATGATTTAAGAATTGTAAACCTGATTTAACTAACTTTAAGCTGATCGAGAAATATATTTGTTGATGACATCATAACATCAGCTGTGTTGGGTTGCTGTTCCCCAACAGTTTCTTGTCTCATCTTGTAAAAAGATTTCTAAAAAAAAAAAATACTTTACTCGTCTTTGTTTGAACTAAAAAAAGACAACATGAAGTGAGCTGCTTGGTGTTTTAGGTGTAACATCCTGTGAAGAGTGTGAAGCTAACAGGGCTTCATGCTGCTGTCAGGGCAACAGAGCACAAGAAGGGGGGCTGCAGGCAGCTGCATAAACCCACATGCAGATACAAGCTCCTGCACATGGGTCATGTTATTGCCCTGAGACAAACCAGATGATTCTATACTTTTTTTCCCCTTTTTTAAAGATATCTCCTTGGACAAATTCTTTGCGTTCTTATAGGCTGAAAAATACAAAAGCCAACCAGAGACAGCGATGATTCTTGATATTGATACTATGCAGGAATCTGTTCACTTACAGCTTTTCACTGAAGGAGGTTTGGATTACTTTACAAACTGTCTGTCAGTCACCAGCCTGACCTGCAGTCTGACCTCTAATCCCAGCTTTCAGAAACACACACAAACTCAAAATAACCATCATTCAATGAATCTTTGCTGGTAAAAAATAGAAACTGCAACTGGACTAAATCATGGTGAGAAACTGAGACACATGTACCGCCCAACCAAAACTTTCCACTCTAAAAGGTCAGCCGAGAAAAAAGTCTGGGCTGTCTCCTCAGGGCTACTCCCCTTCAAATGAGTTACAGGAGAACTGGATCAAACCTGCATGGAGATCTGATCAAAGTGTCTCAACTTTTTTTTCAGATTTAGAAGCATGCAAGAGAAAGAGGGAAGAGGACAGAGCACAAAAGGGTGGGAACCCAAACAGAAAATATTCTAATTGCCATTTTGATTACTTGAGGAAGTATGGAAGACGAGCGAAGTGTAAACAAACACAGGAAAGAGGATTTTAATGACTTCAGCTCAAGAATGGCTGCTACAAAGGCTGAATTACAAACTAAGCCAAGGACCCCAACTGTCTTTATCATTGCCCTTAAAGTCCATAGGTTTACTATAGGGCAAAACGATTGTGGTCTCTTAAAACTCACAATGTAAACAAAGATGTGGTACTTGTTAGGTTGCTCTAGTTCACTGTTAACCTTTAAAATCATGGTCTATAATTTGTGTTAAACCCAGTTTGCAGGTTTTCCTGCAGGAGAGGAGCGAGATGCAGTCCAGAAACTTAAATGATCCACTTCAGGAAGTCGTACAGGGGCCATGGTTAGACGGGTCAAACAAGCAGGACTTTTACAAGGGAGACTGTGTGAATCAAGGCCAAAGGGAAATAAGAAAATCATGTGATTTCTTTCTTTAACCCACATCATTTGTCTACTTAGACCTTTACCAAGCAGTTCTTTTCCCACCTAAACACACGTTATGTTGTAGTAAAAGGAAGATAAACTTGAAACAGACTTATTAGGAGTTAGAAATAGAGATAACATATCTTTAAAAAATATGCCATCGCATATATATAATCATCACACACTTGCAGAAGCTACCTGTGTGACTGTATGAAACACAGAAAGCTGTGACAGTGAGGGTTTTGACCTTTAGTAAAAGAGAAGAAAAGGAGTTGATCCTAGCCTATCATTGAGGCGCGAGGCAGGATGAATTGAATTAAAGAGCTAACACATACAGACAACAACAATAGTCAGGCTCACTCTCATACCTGCGGGACATTTAGAGTCACCAATGAACCAAACCAGCATCTTTAGACTGTGGGGGCGAGTCAGAGTACTCAGAGGGAACCAGTGTGTGCATGGGGCGAACACGAGGGGCGCTGGATAGCTTATGTCACGCTCCCCCATCCTATATTCCTCATCTCAGTGGCAGTGGGTTCAAATCTGACCTCAGCCCTTGACATCCCCCACTATCTGTCTCTTACCAACATTTACTATCTTTCTTCGTCTGTTCTGTCCAATGAAGACAAAAATGGCCCATAAAAAATAGAAAGTGTTGAGTGGTTACATCCCCACAGGGATAGTTTACTCTCACACAGGTCATTTGAGCGGCTACTTCAATGTTCAGCTAAGATGATGTCACATTTTATAAACCTGTGAAGTTTCTGATGCTGCCTTATTCTTCCAGAGAGACATGGTTTGATAGAATGCTTTGAAATCTAAAATCCAAGTTAGAATTTGGAGTAAAATAAATCCAAAAAGGACTTAACGGAGTTGCAGAAGGAGTGCATATGGCAGAAGTAACTATCTTCTTCAAATCACTGTGTACAGAAACATGATCATCTTCACTCACCAAATCAAGCACTGATAAGCTGCAAGTTCTTTTTCACTGAAATACCTTTGTGCTTATTCACTTCCTCACAGCAAGTAATGCAGCCTAACTAGGACTCTTTGTGCCAAAACTCCTCAGTTTTGCAGTGAAGATAATCTGTCTAACAGATTCCAAAGCAGCTTAAATGAGAACACTGGCCCCTCCATCAAACAAGTCATTTCGAGACAGAAAAATCTGACTGAAAAAAAAAATCGAATGAAGTTGCAGAAGAGTGTGATTTGAGTCATGTTCAAACAGGTCTCACATGTTTTTAACAGATAAAGATTACGTAAAGTGAGGCAAAGAGGAGAAGCTGGAACACGTTGCTGCATACTTTTATATCTAATACACGGTACTTAATGGAAATCAGTCGAGAATCCTTTGTTAGAAGAGTCAACCAAGATTTTTGGGTAGGGAAGTTTATTGAAAAAATCCTGCTGCACTTAAACACTAGTATAGTCTGTTAGACCTCGCTAGTAGCTGTAAATTAATGGATTAGCCTTCTATTTGACATAATAATGGGGCCTTGTGGGCAACATGCATCTTCTTTAGTGTTGCCAAGTCTCTTCAGGTTGTGAAAAAAGGGTAAGCACAAGGATGTATATACCACAGAGGTGTGGTAGCACATTTTAACTACAGGTTATTAAGTTACAGTCTTTAGCTTTAAGTGACAACATAAGCTCTGAGAGTGAAGTGTGTAAGACCTGTACCTGTAATATTTCAATGGTAACATGACGTCTCAAGACCACGCTTCTCAAATTCAGTAGCTAGCCAGAGAGAATGCTGCTTATCACTTTTGCTGTTAGCATTGCTGTTGACAGGGTGATCACTTCATGTGCTTGCTTGAACATGTATCTTTAAAAGGTTCATTGTTAAGAGTTTTGCGTGTCTTGGTAAGGTTTTCACAAAGATAATTTAATTTCTGCGATTCACAGATGCTTTTATCCAAAAACGACGTACATCAGAGAGTCAGATAACACCATAGAACTCAAAACCATTCCTGATGTAACTGAAATCATGGGTTAGGCATGTTTAATGCACATTGTTGGAAAAAGTAATTATTATCATCCCATCACAGTAGTGAGGTTTAAACTTGTGGTATGCCACCTTGCAGCATTTTTTTTTTCTGCTTAGCAAATTTAAAACATAAACAAGGAAATAATCTGAATCATGTGGAACTTTTTAAAAGTATGGGTCCAGAAAATGCTAATGTCTGAGAGGGTCTTGTTATTTTTTAAAGTGACATAACTAAGGTTTATCTGCCCAATTCATTGTGCACAGTCCCTAAGATAGAAACAAACAGTAGGTCTGGAGATTGTATACCTGAGGAAAATCCAATTCTTTCAAAAAATGTGTCTAACAAATAGCAATGCACATGTTTTAAATGATCAGATGATCCTTGAGTAGCACAGTTCTACATGACCTTACTGAACCTTCAAAAATGTGGGGCAAGTTCCAGCCAGCAGTCTAATGGTGTAGGAGCACTGCAGTCAAATGCTTTTCAACTCATCTGCCACAGAGGAGATCATCCTACAGCATAATTAAACATGCAGACAAATCCCAAAGCTTCAGCTGGTGAATCAATGTCCTCAACTGAGAAAGCCTTAGGCCTACTTCAAGTTTCACAACAGTTTGCAAAGCCTAAAAACTGCAAGAACCAACCACATCAAAGTATTTAGCCTGATACTCTTTTCATTTATTTTGAATTATTATTATTATTAAATGGGCAGTGATTTGTAGCCTATTAGTCGTGGTTGACATATTTTTATAATTTCCACAATTCTTGCAGTCATTATTATTATTTTTTTATTATTTTTTTCAATTTCCACTTCAACAGAAGCATTAAGCAGGTATCTCAGGGTTACCTTGCATGTGTACAGAAACTGAGAAGTGGTCAGAAGAAACCCCTCGGACGGCTCAATGAGGAAATCTTACAGCCAAAGTCAAAGACTCGGTTTGCCTGCAATAAAAGTTGGAGAATTGTTGACTCGAAACAGAAGTGATGGACTTCGCCCAACCCACTGTGCATAGGAAAAGTCGGCCACTTACCTTGTATTCGGTTCCAGCTTTACTCGGTCCTTCACTCCGGGTTTGCTCCGTGAAGCAGACTCATGGCCGCGCTGTCGTTACGTTTGGTTTATTTTCGGTGACACCGAGGATCCTCAATGTCCCCGAAATCGGTAGGTTACATGGTTTAGTGTCGGACAACAGATTTGGATCCAAGAACTGAGGTGAATGCGACCCGGAGGAGGAGGAGGAGTAGGAGGAGGAGGAAGAAGAAGTGGAGGAGGAGAGCCTGCAGAGTAATATGATGCCTCTGCAGGACCAAGGAGGCAGCTGGTGATCTTCAACTTCAGTTGTCGGTCATGAAGTGTTGCCAGGGAAAAGTTTTCAATAAGACAACAAAATGTTTAATATAACTATAATATAATATATAATATTATATAATTTATATAACTATAAATAATAGCCTATTAATAAAAGGCCTACTTAGGCATATCAATCATTCTCTGCTAGTAAAGTTGCCATGACGACCAAGAGACCTTGTTGAAACTCAGGTTGTAAATTAGCCTAGCCTACTAGCTTTTTAATCGTTGCAGGTGTCAAGTAGCCTCTCCTATTTGTTGCCATAAGCTGTAGGCTGAATTGAAATGGATTTATAAACGTAAGGTGAAAGGGTTCTCATAGCAGGCTAGCTACAAAACATGTAAAATAACACATTTAATAATTGTTTTTAACAACATGAAACTTTGACACTGCACAGTTAGCCTACGCTGCAAGTTTGTGTCTAAAGGCCCCTAGACTCAATTTCAGTTTAATATTCCTCTCTGTGGAGCTTGTTCACTGGTTATGCTAGTGCAGAAAACAGCGGCATGTGTTCAAAATGTTTTTGACAGTGAGAGAAAACCAAAACAACGTGCTAAAAGACGCTAAACTGCTAAAAGCTCTGGCAGAGTTCCAGTGAGGATAATCTTTGGGTCTATCATGAAGACACACAGGAAAACATTCTTGGTTTTGCTGTCAAATTCGAGGTTAAGGTTGGTTATAAAAGTTATAAGTCAGTAAACAGGGGGGTAAATATTTGTGTATGTAAATCAGTTTATTGCAAGAAGACCACTGGGAACAAGGCTTACAGCTCCGCCCAAAGGTCCTCATCAACAAAAATGAGGATTTACAAACAATGCAAAAGACATGAGCGTAAAACGACATTAATTAGCTGGAAACTAACAGTTGTAGGCCTACACTCTAAATACTGTAGATATCTCATATATAACTGCTCAACGATCAGAAGTTATCCAACATCCGTGTTTATTATAGCATATCCCCCTGATATGTACAGCATAATCAAGACAGTGCCTTTTCAATCTTGGAAATTCATTAAAATTACGCACAAAATAATCTGAATTATGAGAGAGGCATGCAAACCATCCAGTATTTTATCCTTGTTGCCTACCTTAAAAATATGCCCAAACTTCATCAGCTGCTATATAGCTCTTACAGCACCCTCATGTGGCTGCAGGATAGGCAGCAACCCTAAAGACAGAGGATGCTTTCCATAAATTAGCAACCCTTTAAAACATGAGAATTCTCCTTCAAGATAAAAAATATAATAAAATAAAAATACACATCTTCCACATTTTGTTCACACATGCTGAAACCGAGTGGCAATACTGTTGACAAAGGTGTTTTTTTTTTGGCTCAAATACAAGCAGGACAATGGCCACGAGCATTGCTTTGAAGCCTCAAATACAAGAGATGGCACAAAAGTTCAAGCACTGTGTTTCAGAAACAACATGTTGTGAAAGTCAAAAGGGTGGAGTGCCACCAGTTAGCACTTTCTTTTTTTTCTTTTTTTTTACACTTTTTTGATTTGAAAGTGAATCTTTTACATCCAGAATTCATCACTAATTCCACATGCGAGGGGATTTGCAAACAGCTTCTCACCCTTTTGTGTTAGGACCAGTGATAAAGATTGCATTTTCAGTCCGTCTCACAAAAAAAAAAAAACACAACATCTCCACAGCAACGCAACACTGTGCAGCCGTGCATCATCAGCTATTTTTTTGTACCATCATACAATTGTTGCAACATCTTTTGGAACTATACAAAACTTATAAATTATAAAGTTCTATTCTTAAATATAAACAACATCAAGTCAGTTTCCAGTACTTGGATTATATATTAGGTACTGTACTTTGTACAGCTCTGTCGTCAGAGAGCATTCCTTTTCAAATACACTGTACATGATCCAAAGGGCTGAAACTGGAGGTTAGACATGATCTTTGAATAAATTAATTCATAAATAAATCATGATTATGTCTTCCCCGTAACAGTGAAGCTCCTTGGTTCCCCTCAAGACTGCAGCACACACACACACACACACACACACACACACACACACACACACACACACACACACACACACACACACACACACACACACACACACACACACACACACACACACACACACACACACACACACACGCACTGTTCACTCGAATCTAAACTTACTGCTATTCTGAAAAAACGTTTGGCTTTAAGAAGAAATATTGTTATTCTCGACTCAGAAACTAATAAAAACTAATTCTTTAATTTGAACAAGACGTCTAACTGCCTATAAAGGGAACTTAAATTCAGTAGTTACATTTGTAGAGTACCTGTACAGGCTTTGCAATGATAGAATATTATCTCTAACCGATAAAGTGACAGTGCTGAGATGTCAGGTCCAAGGAAATCCCTTTCCTACGTGGGATTCATTGAAGAAGCCCACATCTACTTGGATATGTCTGAAGACAAGCAGAAACACAAACAAAAAGATAGACGCTATGTGACTGGAGTTAATAAATCTACCTCTGTCAGTGCAAAGCTAGAGTTGACCTGCTAGTAAAGCATGCTACGTTGGCTGGAACTCAGCATGGGAGACAAAGTTGAAGCAGCGTTTTGTATATGTGTGTTACTGACCAACACTAAAGTTAGAGGATCAGTCCGTTTTATAAGACTGATCCAGTTGTGCAGAAGAGAATTCCAAATACCAGCTGCTAATATAAGTTCTTATATAATCCACAAATATTTACAGAAAAAAGCCAGTTTGTTTTCTTCTTAAAAATACCTTAATCATGTGCTTATATCCAAACTTGTACAAAGAGTAACAAACAATCCAGCTGAAAATCGCTGTGAGCGCAGGATTTCTCTCCTTCCCCCCCTCGCCTGTCAGTCAGTTACAGTAGCAGCTTCGTCACCAAACAGTCGCCTAACTGTTGGTGTTAATACAGTTCACTCCCGTCAAATCGTTCAGTTCATTTGACAGCTGGCAGCAACCTCTGCTGCCGGGACTCGTCTCTCTCTCGCCTCCCGTCTCACCCCCAAAACCTCTTTTCTTCTCTCTCGTGTGTATTGCACC